CTCCTAGCTACCCTGCATACAGCAGAGCAGAGCCCTGCCCAGTCTGCTTGCACCATCCTCTCACCTTCCGGCACTGTATCAGACAGTGCTCCGCTGCTACTCTCAGGGTTTTCGTAGCCAATTTTTTCGGAAGGGGGTGGCCAGGTCCCTCTTCCTAGTCTGTCTTAGTCTGGAAGCTCTGCTGAAACCTGTCCACCCTGGGTGACCTGCTGGTATTTGAAATTCTGGTGGCGTCGTTTTCAGCATCACAGCCACACACAGCTGCCACCGTATGACAACTGACAGACGAGTGGTGTGATTCCCTGACCCAGAAACGAACGAATGTTGTCCTAAATGGACAACATTAGGGTCAGGGAACGCCTTTGCCTGTTTCCATGGGTTCTACAACACTCACAATGACTCAGCCAGTTGAAAGAAGTAATGAGAGAACAGAGCTGGCCTCCCACACAACTATGGCAATAAGCACACGGACACTACATTCGGGCTCTTCTGAGCCCACTACCTACCCAAACTTGTTCTTGCCCCATCTGAAACACATCTCCTGCTTTATCACAGAACTCAATGGGAAAATGGAGTCTGGAATACAGATTTTTCTTCACTTGACAACAAAGTTTGCCAGAACCAATATATTCTATGTGCCAGAAGGTAAACATACTTATAAGGAAGGGCAGTAAATGGGAAAGAAAAAGAAATAGGAAATAACCATATATTTCAGGAAGAAAAAGATCATTTGCTTCTTCGATTCACATCTCATTGAAACAAATGGTATGAAAACACAAATGCCACTCAGGATATGAAAACAAGAAAATTCTAACTCAAACAGAGCGTTGGGGAAAGATTCAAAACACCATCCTCATAAGCATGTTCTATAGGCTGCGTCACAGGTAAGGCTCACACACCTACTCCAGAACACACTGAAGAGGTCCAGAAGAGCAAATACTCAAACACAGGGAATCAGCCCTTTGTACAAGTCCTTTATGTTGCAAGAGTATGATTGAATTGAGTATTATTAACTGTCAGGCTAACTTTTTAAAATACCATTTATGCCTAACTTTTGGGTATCTTATTTTTGTAATACAAAGGGTGGGTTTTAAAAGCACCCCTGTCAGTACCACTGAATCCATGGCATCCACGATCAGAGACATTCTAACACCTTTAGGAACTTACTTATCTATTGTCCAAAAACCTCTGTCCTCACAACCCATGGCTCTAGTTTTTGAGACTCATGCTGCACACACGACAGTCCCTCCAGTAGCATTTGAAAATCTGCCAAACAGTGCTGGAACCAGAGAAAGACTTCTTAGTTTGAATTCTGGGGTTTCTGGTTCCTTTCCCAAGTAGACAAAACACCTGACTGCTGAGTATGAGGCCTCAGTTCCACACATTGCTCTCTCCAAAACAGCTCCTTATTTCATTTTAAAGACACAGCAACCAGCAATCATCTTCACATTCTACAGATGTGCATGAAAATCATCCGGCCACAATTCCAGCTTATACCTGGGCCTAGGGTGGCCCAGGCAGGGTTCCCACACCATCATGCACATACAACTCACCTGGGGCCTGGTTAAAAACGCAGATCCACAGGCCTCGTGTCCCATTTTTTTGAATCAGAAAAATCTGGAGCTGGAACCCAGGAATCTGCATTTTAACGGGCCTCTTGAAGACACTGAGGTATTCCCCTGTGTGCTAAAGTCTACACACGCTGGGCTGGACAGCCAGAGAGGCACTCAAGGCAAATGAACAGAGCTATTTTCACCACAAGCCTTGGCCATTTACCTTCTTGACTTCATTCATCTCATAAACAAGGAAGAAGCTCCTGCGCCTCCACCCTCAAGGAGCTGGAGAAGATAAATTCAACAAGACGTGTGAAGAGCCTTGAGCTTCTCACGGGAAGCAATGATGTAAACTGAAACACATCACCTTTTCAGATCATAAAATATTCTTTTAGGAGTAAAAATAAGTCATACTCCTAGGAGAAAACGACGTTGCTATACTTGAGATACATTCAAATCTTATTTGATGATATTTTTACTCTTTTTTTTTTGTCTAAATCTGCAGCTTTACACCATACAAATAAAGACTGTTTTCTTCCCCAACTCCGACCAAATCTTTGGTACACACACATTTTGAGTAAAAGCTTAAATGAATTTATCTTGTCAATCAAGGCTCTCTCTGAAAAAAGAAAAAAATATCTACTCAAGTTGCCCCGAAATCTCTCTCCTCTGAGCTCCAGACCCGCAGATCTAACTGCCCAGCTGACATGGTACCCAAACATCTCCCATGCACCCCAAAGTCAACCTGTCTAAACTTAACTCATCATCCTCACCTCCTCCTAAAATTAAATTTTAGAAAAATGTCTCGGTACTTAATGCTACAGATTTATACACTTAAAAATGGTTAAAATGATAAATTTTATGTTATATATATTTAACCACAATAAAAATGTTTTGTTTAAATCTAATCCTTCTCCACTAGTGCCTATATCAGTAACCAGCACCACTATCTGCCCACAGCTCAGCACAGAAACCGATGACTCATCCTTGACCTCCCTTTCTCTCAGCCCACTGTACCAATCAACCACTGCATCCAAGAGATTCTTAATCATCTCTCCCGAGGTTGACTCTAGCAGCCTCCTCACTAGTCTCCCTGTTCTACAGGACAACCACAGTGAGCTTCTTAAAATGGAAGTCAAGTCACGCCACTCTCCTACTACAGCCTTCAACAGCTTCCAACTGCTCTATGGACAAAGTTCAGTCCCTCTCTCAGTCTCTCCAATCTGGTCCTTTCTCCACTCCATTCCTCTAGCACCAAGTCCCCGGGTCCTCTGCCTTCCCCCCCTCCTCCCACCCCCACATCCCTGAGGATGCTCCCTTCCTCCCTCTGCTTAACTGATTTCTGCTTCCCCTTCAGGTCTGAGCACTGATGTCCCTTCCTCCAGGAAGCCTGCCTTGAGCCCCTACTCCAAGGTGGCTCAACCCAGCACTATATTGACACTCTGGACCACATAACTGATTCAGGGATGGGGGGGGTTGTCCTATACGTTGTAGGATGTTCAGCCGCACCCCTAACTCTAGATGCCAGTAGCACTCCCTGCCAAACCACCCCCTGTGACAACCAAAATGTCTCTAGACATCAACAAATGCTCCCCGGGGAGCAAGATGGCCCCCTGTTGAGAACCACTGCTCCAGACTCCAGGCTGAAGCCACACCTCTCCCTGCACCGAGTTCTCACAGCACTGAGCACAGTGCAACTAGTTTCTGGTGTAGTTCTGGTTTAATGCCACCTTCCCTTCAATACTGCAAGCTACACGAGGGTAGAGATGGACCAGATCTGCCTTCCTCCTGCAATATCCTCAATGCTTGACAGAGAGCAGATACTCAACACTTTTTGAATAAATGAAAGAACTTTGAGTACAGTTTTCCCTTTTAATACTATTTTTAAATTGTTAACATTTCCTAGTAGTTCAAATCAGCACCTACACTGAATCGGGTTTCTTTGGGAGTAGCTTAGTGACTATAACTCTGAAATATGGTATTAAAGGTGATTCTCAATCAATAATAGGTCTGATGAACTCCTGACACTCAACCATAATTTTTCCTTTATACTGGGAATGATGGAATTAACATTCCCATATATTATTCTTAAGCAAGAATCTATGCAACACCAAAGATGGATTACACATAATGCTACAAGGAGGAAAAACATATAACATTTGCAAACTTCCCATAAGCAACCCATTTGTGCCTAGAAATTATGCTTGCTTTATAATGTTTCTAATGAAATGCAAAAAACCTGACCCTTAGTGCCCCAAAGGAGGTCAGTTATTAGGACTGGCTCAAGTATGGGGCCCACAACGGCTCCCTCAGAGGAAGTCAACAAAAGGGTTGGGACATCTCCTCCCCACCCCCACCCCATCTGAAACAGATGCACTTCCCCCCTCCCAAAGAGCTTGACTACTGGCTACAAGCAAACTCCCTTGGGTCAAGTATATGAACAAGGAGTCCACTCCAACTTGGGGGTCCTGGACTACCTGGATGACAAAGAATCCATGCAGATGGTTTAAATCTATGCCAATAACAGCTGAGTACCACTTAAGTAATAAAAGGAGGGTTTAACAAGCAAAAATAAAAAAACACAAAACAACTTGGAGTCAGGCCTAACTCTTGGTGTCCTAAAATGTCTGACTCACTTCAATGAAAAGAAGCTAAGCAAGACCTGCCTCAGAAGCAAAAATTATCTCTAATTTTGGCAGGTACTAACAAATACAATCTTGACTCATACAGAGTAGAAACAAGGATAAGAAAGATAAAAGTTAATATCTATTATTTTACCACTGGTTCAAATAAGCATTTTGTATCTCATGCAACACAAGTCTGGAAATAGTGGATCCAGGGCTAACATGGTGCTCCACATCCATCTAGTACCCAAGTGGTGCTAGCCTTTCTGCTCTCCCATCCTTACTACTGGCTTCCATCTTCAAGGTCAACTCACGGTCACAAGATGGCCACTATGGCTCCAGCCATCAGATTCACATAATAGTATTAGGGGGGAGCATGGGACAACGGCAGAAAAGGCCTGCATCCCAGCTGGGTCAGCCAGCTTTAATAAGATTTACCAAGAGAAGTCAAGATGGCGGCGTAGGTTGACTCTGAACTCACCTCCTCCCGCGGACACAGCCAATTTACAACTACTCATGGAAAAAGTACCCCTTAGACAGAACTGGAAACTGGATAAGAGGAACTCCTGCAGCAAAAGACGGTCCTAATGGAGGTGGAAGAGGCAGAGAAACTCCCTTCTGGAGAGGAAAAATGCCGCCTTCACAAGCCACCAGCTTCACGGCCGCCCGGGAGCAGCCCAAAAGTACACAGCCTCGCTGGAAGAGCGGCGCCCTGAGCCGGGGAGCGCCCCCGCTGTGGGCATTCTGTGGACCCAGCACAATCGAGACGAGTGGCATAACATCTGACTTTGCCTGCTACTAAAACATTGGGGAGTACCCCCAGAAAGGCTGGTTCACAAAGAAATTAAAACCAGCTCTTAAAGGGCCCACGCACAAACTCACCCGTTTCAGAAAGCAACCTAAAATCACCAGAAAGAAAGGTGCACAGTGCTTTGGTGAAAAGAGACTCACCTGATAGGCCCTGAGTGCATCTCAGTGAGAGGTG